AAATTATCTGCTCTAAGGAGCAATTCAGCAGTAATGGGAGGAGGAGATGGGAAGGAAGAACCCACTCAGTAGGAACTTTTCCAGCTTTGACTGCTATGCTTTAAAAGAGCCACGGGTAGGTTAGGAAAGCTCCCAGGTGTGAACAGTGGAGGAGAGACTGCTGCAAACCAGGTACAATTTGATGGTTTTCTGCTTTCTAATGAGGTTGTTCTGATTGAAGGACAAGTGTTTCTCAGGATAATAAATTCTACGTATCGAGTCAGTGACCCTGAAGAACACAACCCAGTTTGTAAAAGCAGATTCTGTTCTGGTGATAACTTACCTTTATTCACCACATTGAAAAGAGGGTAGGAAGGGGAAGAGAATTAATCACTAATAAAAATTAGCACTTATGGATATCATCTTCAGATTCTACCTTGAGCAATCTTCCAGATCCACATTGAGCATTTCAAGCCCAGATGTTTCATTTCCTTTTACACGTGGTGCTTATAGGTGGTACCCCTTCCTTTTCAGTAGGTCATACTAGCCTATGCCCTATTGGTGCTACACTCACTAGCACCATGGCCGAAAGGGACTTGGGGGTCATGCTTGACCACAAGATGAACATGAGCCACCAATGTGATACTGCAGCTGGCAATGCAAACAAGACTCTGGCTTGCATCTTTAGCAAGACCCAGGATGTCATCCTCCCACTGTGCTCGGCTTTGGTGAGGCAGCAGCTAGAGTACTGCTTCCAATTCTGGGCTCCATAATTTAGGAAGGACATGGAGAAGCTTGAGAGAGTCCAGAGGAGAGCCACATGCATGATCAGAAGGCAGGAGAACAGGCCTTATGAAGAGAGACTGAGAGCCATGGGACTCTTCAGCCTGGAAAAGTGCAGGCTCAGGGGGGAACCTGGTGGCACCCTATATTAGGGGTGTGCATCAGGATTTGGCGAAACGTCTGTTCACCAGAGCGCTCCACGGGATGACAAGGTCTAATGGTCACAAACTCCCCCAAGACCATTTTAGGCTGGACATAAGGAAAAACTTCTTTACGGTCCAAGCCCCCCAAGGCCTGGAATAGACTCCCTCCAGAGGTGGTGCACGCACCTACTCTGGACTCTTTCAAGAAACATTTGGATGCTTATCTTGCTGGGATCCTTTTACCCTAGCTGACTTCCTGCCCCTGGTGCAGAGGGCTGGACCCAATGATCTTCCAAGGTCCCTTCCAGCCCTAATGTCTATGAACTGATGTTGCATTTGTCCTGGGACCAGTTGTGCCTGTGTTTGTCCTGTAATGGAAAAGTCACAGGATTGGCATGTATACACACTGCCCTTCCAATCAGGGTTTAGTAAGCAGCTGAATGCACTGCCACTTTGCTGCTATTGATCCAACAATGCAATCCCAGGACATACTTTGTGATGTCCTGGGACAAACTGTTAGTGGATCTTACCCCATGAACCTTTTCAGGGTCTGTCCTGTGACAAAAGAAATGGATGTCTGAACGACTGCAACTTTTCCAGGGAGAAAATTGATTCTCCTGGGACAAATGTGAAGTTTTTTTGTAGCCCAACTGTTCTGACCATTATTCAGTCACCTCATAAAACCATGCCTTTAAGGTGGAAGAAATCCCACAGAATATAACAACTCACTGGCCCTCTAGGACAGACAAGTGCAATTAACCGGCACTTGTTAGCAGAGGTATCAGAGTGTGTCACAAGAAACAGTCCCCTTGGGCACTTACACACGTGAGGAGGCTGCTGCGATGCACTGTAAATCTAGCACGTCAGAGCAGACTTGATTAACCGAGTCTGTCAGAGTGCAGAAATTAATGTACTCTAGCAGCCTCCAGTGTCACATGTATCAGAATCTCCACACTGAAAAATGGCAGCGGGGCACTGAATAAAACCTTGTTTGATGAGCTTTAGTTCAAAATGCCCCACTGCCATTTATTCAGTGCAAGGACGCTGATACACATGAGGATTGGTGCTTGAAATTAGCATGGCTCGCTAATTAAAGCACCCGCCTTCCCACCTCCCAGAGCAAGTCTATAAATGCCCCTTGATTTACATACCTGGTAACCCAATCTGTTCCACAGAGATTGGGAGGCAATATACACATCCTGGCTACTAGGAAATTTCAGCATGGAATGACCATGTTATCAGTAAACCAGCTGAATTGACAGAGTCCTTTAGTGACCCTCCGTTTGGAGAGATAAGCATGCAGCGCTTCTAAAACTATGTTGTTCAGGCTGGAGCAATGTGTAAACTGAAGATCAGTTCTAGATTTGGGTGGAACATGGAGGAAGCCTGGATGGCCCTTACCTGGGAGAGGGGGGACCCAATGGGAGACAGATGGCAGCAAATAACACAAGATGCACAGCTTCAGCCATGAGTGTAACAGCTAAAAAAACCCCCCAAACCCCATCACCCACACACCATTAAAATATAGTTGGTGCTTTCCAGCTAAGCTGGGACAGCAACATCTGACATTTTTGCCTTGCCTAAATTGTTACTTACTGTGCTATTTAGAGGGGATTTTGTCAAGTGATTTCAGCCCCCAAAAATGGTTTTACAGAGCCTGGGAATAACTGGCTTTAAAAAAAAAACAAAAAACAGTAAAGTTGCTGTAAACAAATTTTCTTAATTTAAACAATTTAAACGTTCTCTTGTGGAGCATATAACCTTAACCAGCAGAAACATAGGGAAAGCAGGCACAGAGATTAAATAATTAGGAATTAGTGGCTAGTATTGCAGGGATGGGATATTGACCCTATTACTGGGGAACCTGGGCACTTCACAATCCTTAATTGTCATTGTTGCACCCCGGGTTCTTATCCTGATTTTCACAGGCCAAGGAAAGAGGTTAAGTGACCCGCCCGAAGTTATGCAGGGAGTGTCTAACCACACAGGAAGTGAACCTATGTCTCTTATGCTTGCCTCCTCACCACTGGACCGACTTCTCTCTCCATTAACTAGAGATGCTGGACTAGCACTAAACTAGGCTAGCAGTAGTGTCAACCCTTCCACATGTAAGCAAAGGGCTCCAATCTCATGAGCCATCCAGTCCCTTTTCTTCTGTGCATCTGTAGCACATGCAGTGTGTGGTGCCAGGCCCTATCACAAGTGGTCACTGGATCGCCATCTCGCAGCTCTCTGGATGGACCTGGCCAACTCCAAAAATCCCATTTGTCACAAGTGTTTCAACTAACCCCCAAGATCACTCTCAGTCAACAAGATTTGAGGGAACTGGAGGTTTTGGTTTCTTTTGCACTGGGATTGGGTGTACTGTCAGTCTTGTTGGTTCCCTGCATGTGTAGGTGGCTCTTCCTGGTTCCTGTGGATCGTTCACACTGGGATATGGGAGAGAAAATAATTTAAAACAGAAGAATGTGACTTCAGAAACACATATGGCAAGAGGAACTTGGTGGCAGGGTCCTCCCTGGTGCTGCCTTTAACTCCTAACTTGAAATGGACTAGATTTCAAGCTGTGCGCAACCCTGGCCAGTGCTTGATGGAGCTGGCATTTGGCACTCTTTCCCTTGCTTTACTCCCCAGCTGGATTCATTTTCTCCTTAGGAGGAGAGAATTAATAAAGCCCAGAACCAGCGGTCTAACTAACTATTCTGGTGCTCTGAGAAGAACAAAGGGGGAGGGCATATTTTGTGTGCGGACTCATTTGGGGCAACCATTTTAACTCCCACCCCCTGATCTGCCCTATTCACCCACACGTAAACTACTGCCCAGAGCAGTAAACATGGCTCTTTGATAGCAACTTTGATGACTATGATGGAGAAACACAACTGAGAACATTTTTGATTGTCACAACTAAGGTTCTGTCCTCACAGCAGTCACACAATTTCAGCAGCTGTGGGCACAACGTGATGCCCTCCATGCACACTACTGTAGTCCCATGGAAACTGTGTGTCACTCTACAGATGGTGTAAGCTCTGGGTGGCATGAAACTTGCAGGGCTGAGTGCCTGTGTGCACACGTCCAAGAGTCACACTGAGTAGAGAGGGTAATGGCAGCTGGACCATCATGAAGGGTAAGTGCTTGAAATCCCTTTAGCATCAAGGGCTTGATTTTGTCCTGCTGAAGTCAATGAGACCTTTACCCTGGAGTCTGATGGCTGGGGGTGGGGGTAAGTGAATAGGGAATGGTGGGGGGGGTCGAAGGTCACGCAGG